TGAATTCCCTTCCTGCTCCTCTGTCTCCCAAAGCCCCAACATGTAAGAGCTACTTACCTCTAAAAGCTCAAAGTCTCTGCATATGACCTCATATGACATCAAATGTCGATGAAATCCAATCTGTGGAGGATACGAGGAAAAAGAGATTATTTATAAAGTTGGGCTTAATCTGTGAAATAATTAAAGATTTAATTTAAAAGTATTATGAAACAAAAGCAAATCTATCATCAAGATCAAACATTTTCAGTCATGTCACATGACTGGTGAATCAGATTCTCTTATATAGATTTACATTTTATGTGTCTTTCCTTTCTTTCTTCTTTCCTTTAACCTTCCTTTTTTTCTTGTCCTTTCAATCTTTCTTTGAGTCATTCTTTCTCTCTTTGTTTTTTGTTCTTTACTTTCTTTTTCTCCTTTCCTTTTTTCTTCCTTCCCTTCTCACTTTTTCTTTTTCTTTCCTTATTTTCCTCAGTTTTCTTCTTCCTTTCCTTCTTTTTAATTTCTTTTTCTTCTATTTTGTTCCTTTTTTCTTTCTTTCTTCTTCTCTCTGTTTCCTTCTTTATTTTTAATTTCTTGCTCACTTTCTTCTTTTTGTTTTCCCTCCTTCCTTCTTTTTTCTTTGTTCATTTTTTCTTTGTTTTCTTCTTTCTTCCTTAGTTCTTTTCTTTTACTGTTTGTTTCTTTCACCACCATTTACATCTGGACTACATCTATAAAGGAGTTCTGGTTTGTTTTAATTTAATTATCGGATTCTGGGAAACACATTGGATTATAATTTTACAAGCCCAAACTGATCAGCCCTGAGTGATTATAAATGTTTCTAAACTCAGTTATCCAAACCTCCCTGATCAAATGGGTACAGAAAAGCAAAATATTACTTTGTGAGTTTGAGAAAAACATTGTAACATGTTCAGTCGAAGGCCGAGAACGTTGGTAATAACGTTTTGCTACAATGATGCTTTGTGTTGCTCTCACTTTGCCAACTTCAGATGATCGGACAGAGAAAGGTACGTTCAGAAACCCTCATGTTAGAAAACATGAACCATCTTTAGACAGAAACCACCGACCGGAGGCGTTAAACACAAATACAACTCAACACACAGCAGACCAGAGGTGGCCAGAGTAACCAAAATATTTTCACTCAATGAGAGTAAAAGGTGTTTTGTAAAACATCTACTGAAAAACTGATCAAATTATCAATCACTTAATATTTAAAATGTACATAACCAGACTGACCAAAATGTAAAGTTAAGTAGAAACTTTGGTATTTTAATCATGAAAATGACAATAATTCATAGAAGTAACAAAATCAGGCAAAAGAAAAAAAATCTAATCAGTTTCTTTGAATAAAAAACTGTTTCTGGTGATTTTTGGTTAAAACATGTTTGATTTTCAAAATTTATTCAAGTAAGAGTAGAGATACTTCATAATAAAATAACTCAAAGTAAAATGTACAGACATAAAAGTACATTTTAATGCAACTAGCTACAAACCAACTCTCCTCAGATACAGCAGTGAAAAGTTTTTTTTTTGTTTTTATCTAAAAGCTGCTTTTCAGAGGACATGTAAAAGCGTTTATATGTCTGAATATTTTTTGTTGTTTTTGTGTTTGACGGCTCGGTGCCAGCATTTCCATATCTTCATGCCCCTGTTATCAAATCCTCCCAAATGTCTCCCCGGAAATTTAGAAACATTCTGATTCAGTTTTAATCCTTCCTTCATACAGAATCATGAATTTGCTTTGAAACATTTGTTTTTACTTTGTTTATGCCACGCATGTCCTGACTGCCTGCTGTGAGTCTCCCCTCCCTGTTCTCACCTCGTTCTCTCCCTGCTTGTCGTCCCACAGAAGACTGTGACAGTAAAAGTGCTCTGAATGGAAAGGATGTAGGTGAGGAAGCGCGCCGCCTTAAACATCTTAAACAATTAGCCTCTGCGCTAATTCATGCTTTATTTTAGAGGCTGCAGGCTATTGTTGCTAAAGTGTTAATGTAGGTGTTTGTGTGTGTGTGTTTTTTCTGCTCCTTACATATTAAAGTTGTTGTTTTTTCTTTAAATATTCAATTATTTAAAGAAATGTAAAAGTTTTCCTTTGATATTTGTGAGCTGTCTCTTAGTTTCCAAGGTGTTCAGCTTTCTAAAGAAAACTGTTCTGAACAAATATGCTGGGATGAGTTAAATTTTTAGCATCTTTTTCTTTAAATTCAGTAGATTAAACAGTTAAATCAGTATTATTCTTTTTTAAAAAGCTGAACTTTTAAGTTTTTAAGGATGTTAAATTACAGTTTAAATATAGTTATTGAGACTTGATATAAAGCAAAGTGATAATACATTTTGTCACCAAAGCGAACATTGTGTGTTAGATTGGTAAATGAGATATTTTCCTTCTTAGGCTTGTTAAATTGTGCATTAATCTTTAGATTGAAGTCATTATCATAAGCTACACTAGGACACAAAATTATTTACTTCCACTTTTAATGATAGGAACATTTGGTTTTCAGATAAGTTTCTCTTTCTGATGGTTTAACTTTCACTGTAAACAGTCTGGAAAAGTTAATGATACTGATGCAATCATTTTATGGCAAGAAGTACTAAATAATTTAATTTCTTAAAAGAATCAAATTAAAAGGAAATGGGCCAAACAGTGAACTAACTACTCATAAAGAAATGATTATCAGTGTCTCTTGGAATAAGTTTTTAAATGAGGTATCCTCAAAAGTTTGGAAAATGCCAATAATATTTATGTCAAATGTGTTTAAAACTGCGTGATTTGTCTCCCCCTGCTGGCAAAAGTAGGAATACTTTTGATGTATTATTTTAGAAAACTGTTTAGGTTTCTTTCTTGTTTTTTGTTGTTTTTTTTAGAACAAAAAACAAATAATATGTCAAGTGACTGCTTGCTTATTTATTCTCTGCTAAATAAATTAATCTTTTGTTAGTTCGTTGGAACATGAAACATGAAAATTACAAGGATTCAGCAATAGGAGTTTTTGTAGCTTATCATGTAATATCTAAATTAGTTTCTGGAATTTTTGCAACTTGATTAAATCAAAGTGAAATTACTTCCTTCTCCAAAATATTAAACCTAAACTAAGTAGTTTTTATTACAAAACAACAAAATACAAGAACAAAACAGTTTCATCTAAATCTTAGATCAACTATTTAATTCAGTTGAAGAAATGTAGCTAAACCGATGAGCAGATAAAAACTGAATATTTCTATGTAAATATCGGGAATAAATCAGGATTTACCCAGAGTACTTGTGTAAATGTGTGTAAGTGTTTCCTTCTCCAGTTTTAGTGTTTTCCTATGTAGTTTTGTTTCTGTTGCGTTTAGAATTAAACTGGATTAAACTGGATTTTAGAGTTTATTTTGATTTAGAACAGTTTTATTATCACTAACACACTGCTGGCTGAATGTCGTTAAGTGCTTGATCTTCATCTTTTTTCTCTTTCCAAAAAAGTAATAATCTATTATTGCAGCATACAGATTATTAGTAAATTTACACATTTTAAATGAATCTCTGACATCATAGGAAGTATCTGAATGGCTTATTGTGCCTTCTTGAGCCTTTTTGAGCTGTTTTATTCTAACAAGCAGGATTGTTGGAATATATTAGGGTTTTTGTCTCACCAAGCTTCTCACGTTGTCGCTGTGAGCCATCGTGGCATCTCATTGGCTCGCTCCAACTGCTGATTCTTTCCCATGTGTTTGAAAGACGGACGCGGCATGCATGGCTTCCTAGCTCCCATTGTGTTGGTGACTGAAACTGGTGAAATAAATGCTCTAATATGACGCTGTAGTTTCTCCCAAGAATAAGGCAGCGCCTGCCTTCTGTGGCCATGCTTTCTCATGGGAATTTTACTCAGGTACTCTTACTGGTTTTCTACGGTGTTTGCTGGTCTGAAACACAGTTCTAATCATGCTTCTGAAGTATTTTTAGATTAAAAAAACGAGAGTTTATATTTAAGGAATTGTTGCATTTTACTGAATCTCTTCTATTTTCTGGAAAAAACGACGAGTGTGTTTTTGCATGTCTCGACCGCAGCCAGTTTACGCCGAAGTTTCCGGCTGAAAAAAGATCGACAGGGTTCACCAGCAGAGACCCAAACGCCAGAAGGCCAACGGTCGGACTTCCGGATCTATGAGGAAGTTACGCAATATTTGCCACGCCCTGGAGAAAAGCCCCGCCTTATTGTACTGATAGGTAGGCACGCTGTTAAAAAAACATGCTAAACAAATACAATAAGGTTTATGTTTTCTTTTAGTTGGAATTTCTTGGAGATATATTTAGGAAAGATTATGCTGCTTTGATTTTGATGATACTTTATGAATGAAATGAAAGCAGTGCTTCCGTCTGCACTTGTTTTTGCTCTTTTTGCCATTGACAGGAATTTACTTTTTAAAATCTATTTCTGTATTTTTGTGTGTTTTTTTTTCTTTGGTAACACTTTACTTGAAGGGATTTGCATAAGACTGACATGCATTTGGTAAATAATTCAAAATTTACACTTTTATTGGATTTTTAATGCATGTTTAATTGAACTTTGCATTAAAAGTTTAATTATTTACAAAATAATGCAAAGTTGGACACTTTTAATGCAACTTTGCATTAAAATTGTCATTATTCACGACAGCAGTGATAAACATTTCTGAAGACTCTTTGATTTTTATGACAGTTCAGTCATGTCAATCTGATGCATATGCCTTCAAATAGAGTTCAACCTTTTTCTACTTTTTCTTTTCTGACTTGTACGTTGAAAGGTTCAAAATTACAGAAAAATAAATACAATTTCCAAGATCAAATTTGATGGAAAGTAGTAAGGTTATATTTTTTAAAATGTGTTTAAACTAATCATTTTCTGGGCCACAGGTTCGCTAGGAGCTCGGGTTACAGAGCTAAAACAGAAGGTGATAGCAGATAACCCTCGATGGTTTGGTCTGGCTGTTCCCCGTAAGTATTCCTGTACATAAATGCATCATTTAGCTGATGCAGCCACTACATTCAATGTTTATCTCCATGTCGTCTGGCCTGGTGGTGGCTTGAACCTTGACCTGAAGACACGACCCGAGCCAGAAAGACTCACGAGAGAGAAGGAGTGGAGTACCACTTCATCAGCAGAGCAGCTTTTGAGGCCGAGATCCAGAATGGGAAGTGAGTAAACAAACAGTCTTATGAATAGAAAGTTTCAACAAAACGGTTGCATTTGTTTTTTAACTCGTGCAAACTAATTTCTTAACTCGTGCAAACTAATTTCTTCTGAGAATTATGTTTTGTTCTTCAGGTTTATTGAATATGGGGAGTATAAAGAGAATCTGTACGGCACCAGCTTGGAGTCCATTCATAAAGTTCTGAGTCAGAACAAAGTCTGTTTAGTGGATGTGCAGCCAGAGGTGAGTATGACTGTCATGACAAACCCATCTTTCTTTTGGCAAAAATAAAGACCATGGATGTTCTTAAAGGGCCGTAATGTAATGTTGAACTGCTGAAATATAAATAAAATTTGATAATATTGAACATCTGTTCAGTCCATCCAGGATTCACAAGAAACTGGAGGGTCTGACTGATACAATTTGACTCATAAAATAATATTTAAACACTTTATCTTGTTTTACGTATCAAACTACTGGCTGTTATGTTACATCTCAGTTAAGGTACATTTTTAATGATAAATAAGTGTAAAGTATCCTGGTAGGTGGTTTATCTGCATTGTGATGAATGTTTCCACATCATTCAGGCCCTGAAGACTTTGCGAACGGCCGAGTTCAAACCGTACATCATCTTCGTGACGCCTCGCTTCCCCGACAGCCAAAGAAAACACTTTGGCTCCTCTTCCTCTCTCAGCGCCGGGATCACGGTAACTCGCACGGCGACAACACCCACATGAAGAGCAGCATATGGAGTTTTATTTCTGGTGAAAGTGATTGTCTGGTTGTCACCAGGAGGAGGACCTCCAGGAAATGAAGCAGTCTGCAGAGAAGATGGACGAGTGCTATGGCCATTGGGTGGACTACGTGTTGGTGAAGGAGGACCCAGTGAGTGCCTTAGCGGAGCTCCAGGTGGCGCTGGAGAGGGTGCAGACGGAGCCGCAGTGGGTTCCTGTGTGCTGGGTGAGGCGTTAGCCTCATCAACTTCCTGATAAACAGAGACCACTGTGCAAGGACCCACCGCTGTGGGGGACCAAATGTTTACCGCCATGTAACCATTCCACACCTAGAGAAGGACCGCCATGAAAAACAGAAAAATGTCTGATAGTTGGTACGGTCACAGGAAAAAAAGTACACCCAGTTATGGGAGTTTCTTAAAGGGGCAGTTTAAGTAGCTATGTTCCGATATAAAAATGTTGTATGAATTTGCAATTTAACAAAGTAAAATTATTAAAACTCCTGCTCTTTCCAAAACCCCCCTTCAGGAAATCATCACAACATGGCTCCTCTATAAACCCTTTACCATTTTTACCAGCACTGCATTTGGCTAATTGCTGCTGGCTAGTCTGAAGGAGCTGAATGAGCTGCTCTGTGAAGCAGCAGCTGGAAAGCCTCAGATCTGAGGAAGAGCTGTGTCTCGAAGGCGGGACTCGGTCCATCCAGACATTTTGCACAGCTGAATGGTGCAAACATGCATGAAAGAATCAAGGCAACATACAGCTCTGGAAAAAATGAAGAGCCCACTGCACTGAACTGCATTGAAAACGTCATGGTTATTCCACCAAATACTGATTTCTGAACTCTTCCTAAGTTAAAACATTAGTATTATTTCTAAATGAATATGAACTTGTTCTCTTTCAGAATTTGAGGTTTGAAACCACTTTTTTTTAACCATTTCTCATTTTCTGCAAATAAATACTAAATATTTGCTTTGAATTTCAAATACATTTTAGTATTTCGTAGAATAAAAGAACAATGTTCATTTTACTCAAACATATACCTACAATAAGCAAAATCTGATAAACTGATCATTTTAAGTAGTCTCCAATTTTTTAGAGCTGCATGTGTTTGATGTAACTATGATTTATTACCGATACCCTTCCATACTGGTGTTAAAACACGCCTGGAGATAAGAAAAACTAATTATTTAGCAACGATTCCACATACAGATGACTAATTTATCTTTGCAAAATCCTCTGGAAGCAGCAAGGGTGTACTTATTTTCCTATGCCTGTTGCTCCAGCTGAGGAAACTTTCTTTCCAGCGGCTAATTGTGCCGTTATTGCAAATAAAGTCTGCAGTGGCTCCCGGGTTGCAGGTGAGGCTGTTGTAGTGAAGCAGTGCTGATGTACACACTGTATATCTAAAGTCCAGCGGTAGAATAACGGCTAACTCAGGCATGCAGGACCAAGTTTCAGTTAATGTCACAGATCTGTTGTGGTCAGTAATAGAAGACCTGTTTTAATAGCAGCTATGCTGTGAAGTGCCATAATGAATGTGTTGAATTCACGCAGGAAACTGTTGTAGCCTGTGAGCTGACAGAATAAATCTGCCCTGCTGGACAAATGTTAAGTTTGGTTTATTAAATCTTTGGAGTTAAAAGAAAACAAACAAATCAAACATCACCAGGGAAACCTTTTAATTCTGGACTCATACAAACAAAGAAAGGAAAATGTACATATGTATTTGCAACATGTGCAGGAACTCCACACTGTTTTTTTTACTTCCACAGCTTCTTGATAGACATGTTCTTCTCGCTGTCTTTCTGCATGACCTTCGCCACGGCCATCTCAAAGTCCTCCTGTGTGACATGAACTCTCCGTTCCCTCAGAGCGTACATCCCTGCCTCTGTGCAGACGCCCTAAAACCAAAACACTGATTATTTACTAACCGATTATTCTGACCATTAATCGGATAAAAACAAATTGCCAAATTCTGCTGGTTTTTCATTTGACCTGTAGAGCCTTTTTATACAATATTAAAAATGCACTAAATATTTAATAACCTAAAATGCAATAATAAAGCATTCCTTTAGTGAACGTTTGATCATTTGTAGCAAAGGATGAATCTGTAGCTAAATAAATACTTTAACCATCAATATGTGTAATGCTTGATTGATCATCAATAGTCTACGACTGATTAATTTTTTATTAAACAATCACTAGGATAACTTAAGGCTCTTGATAGGATTTTTTTTTTCTGAGGTGAAGCCGAAACTGTTTATTTTTAATCTTACCGAAAAGTTTTAGCTGAATTCCTGCTCTCAGTATGCTGCTCTTTCAGCAAAAGGCTATATTCCTGCTAACGATTAATCATCTATTAAATTAGTTGACGATTATTTCAAGAATCAATTAATCTCGATCAATCGTTTCAGCTCTAAACCAGATTTAGTTGTGTTCCTGCTCATCCAGATGCTTCAGATTAACGGGGGTAATTCCCACCTTGACCTCGGCTCCGGAGGCTCCCGGCATGAGCTCTGCGATCTTCCTCAGGTTGATGCCCCGAGTGAGATTCATTTTCCTGGAGTGGATCTTCAGGATGTCCAGACGGGCCTGTTACACGCACAAGTGTTAACGTTTTTATGCAAATAAAATAAATGACCTTTTTTAAGAAAATGTATTGATAGGAACCTCTTCGTTGGGAGGAGGAAACTCGATCTTTCTGTCGATCCTTCCTGGCCTGAGCAGAGCCGAGTCCAAGATGTCGATACGGTTGGTGGCCATGATGACCTGCAGGGGAAAAGTAACAGCATGTCAGCTTTTCTCGAAGCAAAAGGTCTATTTTCTGAAATGTGATCAGATTTTACAGTCCAGATCAGTTCTAACAGGTTGACGCAAAACACTCTTCTGTGTAGAAGTTTAGTGTAAAAAAAAAAACAACTTTTTATCCATATAAGGATCCTTTTGTTTTGTCTTGTGTGTTTATGTTTGACAAAAAAGGTAGATTATTAAAGTAATACTTTATTCTGATAGCTGTGATATTTGTGATGTTGATATTTTCTTGATTCTTTGTTCTCATAATGTCCCCAACTCTGTTTGACCTTTAGCTTCTCAAACACTTTGGGCACTGATGACAGGAAAAGTAAATCCAGTCAGCCAAATGTGTAACTGCAGTGGTCAATTTGCATTTGAAATGGTATATTTTCATATTTTTATGAATGCCAGTCCTTACGGTTTGTTTTTCTTCAGAAGATAAAGGGAAAATCTTTATCCAGTGGGAACATTTGTACTATACCTGCCATAAAATTGTAAAAGTGACATCAGATATTAGAAAATTAGTTGCAGCTGTTGCGGGGGAATTTTCTAACTTTCAAAAACGTTTCTATTTTAAACCGATTAATTATGCCATTGTAACTACTTTAGCGTGGGTTTCTCACTTATGGTGCAGGACACTTCACTGTACAGCCATTTAACCTTTCGTCAGGGAACCGAACCGATCTGCGTCACCTTGATGTTTTTAGTGGCCTCGAACCCATCCAGCTGGTTGAGCAGCTCCAGCATCGTCCTCTGCACCTCGCTGTCTCCACCCGAGCCGCCCTCCAGGCGAGACGAGCCGATGGAGTCGATCTCGTCCATGAAAATGATGGAGGGGGCGTGTTCCCTCGCCATGACGAACAGCTCGCGCACCATGCGAGCGCCTGGTGGAGCCGGAGACATTACAGAGTTAGGAGACGTTTCAGGAACTTGGCTGCAGGATTGATAAGAAATGTGAAGATGGGAAGTCACCTTCTCCGATGAATTTCTGGACCAGTTCAGAGCCGGAGACCCTGATGAAGGTGCAGTCAGTGTGGTGGGCTACCGCTCTGGCTAGCAGAGTCTTCCCAGTTCCTGGTGGTCCATACAGCAGCACACCCTGCAACAAACAAAAACCTTTGTTTTCTACTGCGGCGATGAATCAATTCATTTCTGTCATTTTAAGATTTAATTTTTGGAGAATCTGGATTTTTTATCCGGTTGATGCACTTTCAGCGTTTTCATGGTTCAGTGATGTCAGCACTGAACCATCTTGTGTGACAAGCAACCTTCTCGGCTTCAACTTATTTGGACACTGAAGCTATGATTTTTTTTAATTATTATTATTACCATTACAAGAATAAAGTTGTAAAATTACAAGATAAAAGTTGTAATGTTAGGAGAATGAAGCTATAAATTCATGAAAATCAAACAAAAAAATTCAAAGATTAAATGAGAAATGTTTAGTATCTTGTAAAGTTACACAGCATCAAATGATTTTCAGTAACAGGACTTTGAAACTACATTCCTGTAATTAAACATTATTGGAGCCTGATCCCACGACTAAAATGAAACTAAGTTTTTGAAAATATTTGTGGCATTTGTCATTTCTATAAATCAATTAAAATCAGAAAACTGGCTCTGCCCCAGAGGTTTCCAAACTGACTGTAAAACTCCAAAAAATAAAAACATTCCTTGACTTTCACCCACCTTTGGCTGTGCGATTCCCAAAGCCTCAAACAGCTCTGGGTGCTTCACTGGCAGCTCTATGACTTCTTTGATCTCCTTGATCTGTTTGTCCAGCCCACCAATCATTTCATAGGTGGAGTCTGGAACCTTCTCCACCATCATCAGGGAAACCAGAGGATCCACTTTATTGGGCAGGATCTTGTGGAGGGTGTAGCTGTCGTTACGCAAAGCCACGCGGCAATTTGGAGTTACCTGGTGGAAAAGAGACATTAATATAAAACTTGAAAATGTGATCTCCTTAAACTGATCGGTGATAATACTTACATCATTTATGTCAATGTTCTTGTCCACATCCACAACAAATTTCCCCTCAGGATGTACCTATGCGGACAAAGGAAGAAGTCAGATAAAACTGCAGAGAAAGCATTAAGCTGCTGTTCAGACCCAGAGAGCTGCATACCTTCACCAGCACTTTCTTTTTGTCCATAACCCGAACCACTTCCCCCACGTAGGATCCCTGCTCCTGCAGCAGCTGCAGCTCCTCACGGAGCAGACGCACTGATGGGCAAAAACATGTTTATGTCTAAACCCTGTTTTTTTTTTTATAATATGTTAAAAAAAAATTAATTTACCTTTGGCATTGAGTTCATTCCTCTGCGCCTGCAGACGTCTCAGATTCTGGCTTTTATCATTTACCGTCAGCTGTTATGAGAGAAAGAGAACAACAGAAATGAAGCACTGACCCTTTAGCAGAAGGACTTTTCACTAACTCTGCATATCATGCTCACCTGTAGCTCTTCTATCTTCGATAAGTAGTACTGCCGGAGACCTGATCCACCTTTAAACTCCCCTGTCTCCATCTGGGAGAAGAGAAGGGACTTCAGATGCATTTCTTATACAGCACAAGTTTGTCTCTGAACAATTATTTACTGTACATTTAGAGTGGAATGGGGTCAGGCTTATATTATTGTATCTTACCAGCATAAAAACAATAAAAAGGAAGACTAAAAACAGCATGGATTTGATCAAAAATACTAAAACGTTTTCTATAAGTTATACGGAAACATTCATGGTCTTAATGAAAGTAAAAGTTGGGTAAGGAAAAAAAAACAGAACGAAATTATACCTTAAAATGGCTTTTTGAATGGTGAAAATGTGTTTAACACCTTACACTCCAATGTGAAGTAAAATAATTATGGAACAATATTTACTCTATTTTATGCTGTACCTTTTTCACTATATAAAACAACGGATACATGTTGTTCCTCTTAGCTTTTATTTTATTTCGTCTACGTTTAAATGTAATATATGCTTAAAGACGAAGTCATATTCCTTGTGCACAAAATCTTTCCCAATCGAGCCAATTGTGATATTTATGAAAACTGGTGGATCTTTGCACTTTAAAAGCAATTGTTTATAAAAGTCACAAACCTAAAGTGTGGAGACTATCAATATCCAACTGAAATGTACACATAAACACAAATTTCAATGACGCAAGGGTGAAATCATTTTTCTTTTAACGCTGATAAACATTTGTTAGCATGAGCTAACACCCGAGTAAGCGTTTGGTTAAAAGGTGGTGACCCAAAAACATGGTTGCTTATAAAAACATACACATCTCAAAAGTATAAACATGCGCTACAATTGTGAATAAGTTGTTTACATTCGGTACAGGAAGCAAAGTTACTTTAACGAAGCCTGTAGTCGACAGCGAGCAGACAGCTCTTTAGCAGGCTCGGCTACAATGAGACAGCAAACCTGCACAACACATTCATTGTTTTCAATACAAATATCCCTTAGGTTTCTAAACTAAAGCCCCCAATAGCTGACACAACACAACAGGTTTAAAGTAATTATTCACCGAAAAGCGCTACAATATGATCTTCCTACTATTTTTCTGATTAAAATCTACAAAACGACAGAAAATTACACCTACTTGATCGACTCCGTCTACCTCCATCTTGAAATTTCGGCGTCCGCTACAGCGCAGTCGTATTTCCGGTGAGCTTCTTCTTCTACATGAATTTGTGGTAAATGACTTAGATCGCCCCCCGCAGCTCAAGTTTTAGAACGGAACCACTGTTTCTTAGTTTAACGGAATGGTTCCCAAACCTTTTAGTACAAAATACGTAGGAGTGAAGTAACCAACCG